ATCTAAAGAACTGTGTCCAGTAATTTACTATCCAATTACTATATACCAACTAGTTATATATTAAAGTAATTGTTATCTTTTAAATCGTGTCCAGTTATTTAATATCCAAACGTTGCAAAAAAAAGAGAATTCTGACAAGTGACAACCATTGCTTCAACTACAAAACCATACAACATTGCCCCTCCGGATATATTATATGTGGAGGGCAAAAATGTAAAGTGTCTCTCCGAAGCGATTCCCATAGGCTCGAACCCCTTGAGGCCGCCGGAGGTGTGGTGGTTGCCATAAGTCAACGGATTTCAAATATCGATAAGTCATCCATTGTAACACAATATATTAAAAGCAGGTTGACAAAAATAGCTGATGAAGGTATGCACAGACGTGGCATGAGTGGGGCTTTCTTTTTTTTTTTTAGAAAAGACCATGATAATATCAGCAAGTCACAGCGTCAAGCTATTACGAACTTCGTCTTATACCTTGACTGAAATAGCCACCTTCCTGTATGATGGAATGCAGCGATTTGATTGGGCTGTACGAAAACAGCCAGTAAGAATCCTGGATAGATAGACAGTAAATATCACGGCAAAGTATTTACAGACTTTCTATCAAGGGCCACTTTTCTTGTGTAACAGATATTTGTAAATGCAAAGATTTGATTGGCTGTATTTGCTAACATACAATCCAATCAAATCTTTGCATTAACAAATATCTGTTACACAAGAAAAGTGGACATTGAAGACAAAGTTCGCAATAGCTTAATATTGTGAAGAAGCGTGTGGGACTGAGAGGGACTCTATTCGAAGAAGCCATGATAATGTAAGCAAGTGTTGGAATAATCAATAAGAATTCCAATTCCCCTCACTAAATGATCAGTGTATACCATCGTCTTTTTCAACCCTGTTTCGCCCTGACAGTGATGCAGGAACTGACACTGAAAAAGCTTTTAATTTATATGACTATAAAACAAGGCCCCGTGTGTTATAGACTCTGCATGTTAAAGATTTCTCGAAAAAGAGCAGGCTAATGCCCTTATTGCACACTACATATGGCATTGCCCGTCTTCATTGGCCAAAAAAGTGCAGAAAAATAGAATGTTTAACTCCATTCATTTCGTGAACATTGTAAGCATATAAATGTTGGCTATCCGGCAATACTCGTATTCGGGACTGGGGAAGCTATATTCTAGTTACTGTGCCCCATAAATAATCTCAATTCACAAATATTCAATAAAGACATTTCAATTGCATGATATTTTTCGTAGAATGTGCATAGAAATATAAAGTTTGCTGATTTTGCATTTAAAATGAACACACACCCTTACCTCCCAGAGATAACATGTGAAAATGAACGATATTTCGAACTGATAATTATTTAGAGAGTAAATAACATGGCTACTTACATAATTAACAATATAATATACAAAATTAGTGCTAAAGCATTCAAAAAAAAAAGTATATGAACCACTTCATCTAGCACGAAACGCACGTGCATCTGTAATCCGAAAAATTCATAAATTTAACCACTTAGAAGCTACAACAGCAAGTTACACTTACCGAGGCTTCAGGAGCATATTACACTTACTAAGGATACAAGAGAATGTTACACTTTCCAAGGCTACAAGAGAATGTTACACTTACCCAGGTTACAAGAGAATGTTACACTTTCTAAGGCTACAAGAGAATGCTATACTTACCCAGGTTACAAGAGAATGTTACACTTTCCAAGGCTACAAGAGAATGTTACACTTACCCAGGTTACAAGAGAATGTTACACTTTCCAAGGCTACAAGAGCATGTTACACTTACGAAGGCTACAAGAGCATGTTACGCATACCATGGTTACAACAGCATGTTACACTAACCATGCTACACTTACGAAGGCTACAACAGAATGTTACACTTACGAAGGCTGCATGAGCATGTTACACTTATCCAGGCTACAAGAGCATGTTACGCTAACCAGGGCTATCCCATTGATTTTGTCATCTTGAGTGATCCAGGATGACTATTGGACTCATTTTATGTCTATTTCATTGTTTGTATCATTTTGAATGATGTCAATTTGGATAGGTGTTGTTATTGTAATGAGAATGAACTCTTGTGAGACCATAGAGAAATAGCGGTTTCAATTTCAACAAATTTTATATTATTGTATTGCCGATGTCCTAACAAAGGTACCCTCATTCGACACTTAATGGCATTACAAATGTTGTCGTCCGTCGTGGCGTTCCTTTGGGGTCAACAAGGAATACTTTCAGACCTGTGTTGGTATCTACCGCATTGATTTATAGTCAGGCTGAAAACAAACTTACTTCCTGCTTTTCTGTGCTATATTGGATAGGAATTCGCCTGTTGTTTTTAGAGCTGTCGTGCAATCTATATCTATGAGCAATCTGTAGCACACGGGATCTCCGTTTATCTTCAATGCGAACGTCTTTTCCAAAAGAACACGTCGACCTACATCACAGATAGCGGATCAAGGAAGAAGTCAAATCAAACGATACTTTCTCAGATCTTACAGGTCACCAGCCATAATCTTTGAAAACCCAACCTTCTCGACGTTCTAAGCGAGATTGATTTGAGCATTTTGAAAAATTTGTTTAGTGTATGATATTAATAGATAATTCAGATATATCTTAAAGAAAATGGTGAAAATCAAACTATACGGGGTCAACATTAAAATGTAACAGAGTTCAAGGGATCGTGGAAAACTGAGCAAGGTTTACTAGAATGTTATCTGCAGACAGGCCCGTAGCTACAGGGGAGAAATAATGGATTGACACCCCCCTCCCCCGGAAAAATTGTGACCAATTCCATTACTTAACAGCATACCCCATTGTCCTCAAGATATATTATATATTACATGCCCCTCCGAACATTCCAGTCTGGCTACAGGCCTGTCTTCAGCAATGAACGATTTAGAGCCCAGGTCTAGACCGAGAACTGAACACTTCGTAGCGTTCTAATGTAAACGGGGCTAGATAAATGTATCCGCCATTTCACTCGTTACAATCTGATCCTTCAGAACTGAAGATGAAATCTAACGAGGTTCTACATCACACTTCTGTGCATCTGATTGGGCTAATGCAGACGTAAAACGCCATTCAGTGTGCAGTGAGGAAAATTTTGTCAGTACATCGTTTTAGCCTACTGATCATTAGAGTGTACAGCCTGTAGCGCATGGGGTCTCGGTCTATTGTCTAATTACAACGATTAGACACTTTTACCATGTCAACCCTTCAACCTACCCACTGACAAGGGGAAACATGATAGAGCTAAGATGACAAGCTGTTGAAGACAAAATTACCAAGATTCCGGTCAGAAATTTCCTTTAAACATGGATTATAGTCGATTAAATAATATTTAGTTACAAAATGATACAAATATTCATTTTTACACACAAACCACTCATTATATTCCAGTCATACAATAAAATCATCCAACATTTAACAATTTTCATATTGGTTAGCATAAATTATGACAACTTTTGAAGAAGTCGAGTCAAAATTAAATTCAACAGAACACGATTTTAAGAAGAATCTTGTCTGATCATGGATGCAGAAAAAATCAACCATGGATGAGAAGAATCATATGGTCATAAAGGTTTGGACTAAATAATTTACAATCATTACACATTGCCAATCAGGATTCTTGGACATTCAATAAAATAAGTTTGAATAGAGCTCAGATCTAATATACCAAAAAAATAGTAGGTACTGACAGAATTCAAAATGGCAGAGAAGTTGTGAAAATTTTGAATGTGGCATATATGATTCTGTACTGTTTGATTGAGGTCAGATGGGAACAAAATGAACCTGTTCAGAATTCTCCAATTGACCAGCACCCAAAACAACAATGTATTATTACACAAATATATTTATGGACTTGCTGAAAAATAAACAAATGATTTTAAAAAAATTTTCACAGATGATGTTTACGAAAATGGGACTCAGTAATTGCTTGATGCCAAATAGATTTAAAATTTAAATTAAAATAATAGCAATATATATATATATATTAATACATGCATAATTTATATTTACAAAATATCAACATTTTAAAATGAGTCTCTATATCTGAGCCATCTTCACAAACTTATTAATAAACATCTTCACAATATTAAGCTATAACGAAGTACCACTAATATCTTGACTGCAATAACCATCTTTCTTGTATCACAAAATGCTGCAATTTGATTGGATAAAATCCAGTGAATACAGCCAATCAGAGCCCCCGATTACATGCACAGCCAAATTGTTTACATCTTATCAAGGGCTCTGATTGGCTGTATTCAGTAGCATACAATCCAATTGAATGGCTATATTTACAAACTTTTTCTTTTAGGTAAGGTGGCTATATAATAAACATAATTTTTTAGCCTCTACCCTTTACAACCAAATTTACAATGTATGTTTTTGGCATTATACCTCTGCAACTTAAATGGACAGGTGCGCCAGACATACTTTAGTCTCAGAAAAGAATTTTTTTAGCTAAGCCGATCAGTAATCGTGTTCACAGCTCACTGTCGGAATTTGAAATTTGAACCTTCAAATCCACGTGTGTCAAGAATTATCCGTGATTGAATGTTAAAATGATGACTCGTCAATTTAAGATACTCTGTGATATATATAGAAAAAACATATATAGAAATAGTGAGTAAAATTGCTAGTTTGAAGTCTTTTTAAAGGAATTATGCAATTTTCGTACTTGTGAAGACTATCAACATATATTCAAGACTAAAATCAATCCCACAAAATATTGTACCTGTCCCTTTAACTAGAACTTGATTAAAAAAAGGACCAAAATCTGTGGTTTTGATGGTTAACGATCACGCATAGTGGCCTTGAACTTGGTACCAGAATCAGTGGCTTAGATGCACCAAGTTACTTTTATGTTTATAGCGTTCACACGATTTTTCATGAAGACTGGAACTTGAACTCTGAAACACTACAAGCTCTGTGATCTCTGTTAAGATTGTAGTAGCTCGTATCTTTAATATTACTATGATGAATGTTGACCAGATGTATTACGAACCCGTTTACTGAATGAACGATTAAACACACTGTTAGAGATGGACACAACTGGAGCGAATAACTTCAACGGAAAATCACTGAAAAATATAACAGAGACATTTTTATTAGTAAGAATGATACCACTTAAATAGAATCCCTCTTCAGGTCTATGTTAATAGAATGGACTAAAGTTTTAATTTTCATTTGTAACTATGTACAAGGGGCAGTCTGAGTCAGTCTAATATCTGGAAAGATATGCATTGGCAGCATTCCAAAACTAGGGGGCAGACTGACTCAATGGGAGGGGGGGACAACTGTAAAGGTTGAGATTTAAAATGTGACAGCTCTGTCACAGGCTCAAGCTCCCATAGAACGTCTGAGAGGGTTTTCTCAAGAAATATTTTAAAAAATATGCATTGATTTGGTGCATTCTGGTACATACTGTAGGCCAAAAACTAGTTACAAAAACTTTGCAAACTGCCCTAAAACGTTAAATTTCATTGAATAATAACTTAACCTTTGCCTTCCCCCTTCATGTTGTAGTATCTTGTTCCTTTTCTATCTAACCCCCTACCTAGCTTACCATCCTTACCTACCTAGTTTACCTACCCAGCTTACCTGCCTAGGTAGGTGAAAGGTGAAATCAAGTCAGACCAAGTGTAAATCCCTAACATAAGGTCATACGCTAGGTTTTTTCTTATATATCATATGAAATAGTTTAAAGTTATAAAATGCTAATGTTAAAGTTACTATAAAATGTAGTCAAAGGGGAGATAATTTATAAACCATGGATATTGTCTGGTTGAAGATAAACACTGTATAAATACGAAAATAATTTTGAATATTTTGGTCAATACTTACAATGGTACCGTTGGTTCTACAGCCTCGTTGGCACTGATTATAACTAATGGAAACAGGATAGAAAATATATAACCACTGAAAATATAGATTTATACATACCAAATCATATCAAATATCTTTTATACTGTGTCTCAAATATCATTGAG